CTGTTGTTGTGCAAATCTGAAGGCCACATGAAGTTTGGAGGTCTGTAGCTATTGACTCTGCAGACAGTTGGCGACTTCTGCTCACTATGCGCTTCAGCATCCACGGACCCCGCTCTGTCATTTTACATGGCCTACCACTTCATGGCTGAGTTGCTGTTGTTCCCAGTTGCTTCCACTTTGTTATAATACCAATAACAGTTGACTGTGGAATATTTAGTAGCAAGGAAATTTCACGGAACAACGGAATCAAATGATTTGGAGGGGTGTCCCAATACTTTTGGCAATATAGTGTATATTGCCAGTACTTCCTCCCAGGAAAGCCAAGCGCTTGAAAGCTTGTTTGAAATACGCTTCTGCATTGGAGATTTTGAACTTTTGAGGGTGGCATGTTGTATTTGGGGGGCTGTCAGTAAAGCAGACCTACCATTTTCATGGAAGGTTCGCTTTAAGGCACACAGCTTTTAAAGTTATACAACAAAGATCTGCTTTTAGAAACTGGAGCAAAGTTTTAGTTTAAAGGAATCTTTTATTTATAGCATTATTGATGCCATACCATTGTTTTTCTGAAATATTTTGTATTTTCAGTTATTGTAGTGTTTAACTGAAAGCATATCTGAAGTCAAAACCTTTTTAAAAAAATGTTATGACTAGAGTAGGGAATGGTTAAAACTCCTGTAAGTTTTTATTGCCATCTGCGTTTCACAGGGGAGACAAATTGTTTCCTGTCTACCAGTCCTGTAGGCATCACCCCCACACTCCTGACCGGTATACTCATTGTGAGTTGGGTGCTGAAGTGGCTGCGAATAGTGCCGCTCAAATCCAGAGAAATACAACATGTCACCAGCACACCGAGGATCAGTGTCCAAACATTGAAGGATGTACATTTTTCCACATGAATGGCAATGTTTCGAGGCCACACATGGACCCTTCCTCTGGCTTAATATCATGATATGGATCCTCGGTGTGCTGGTAACATTATGGGGGGAATTTATCAAAACTAGAGCAGACAAAATCTGGAGCAGCTGTGCATGGCAACCAATCGGCTTCTATCTTCAGTTTAGATTTGAAAAGGAAAGAGAGAAGCTGGTTGGTTGCCATGCACAGCTACTCCAGATTTTATCTAACTCAGTTTTGATGAATTCACTGCATTTGTCTACCAGCTGCAAAAAAGTCTATGTGGCTGAACTGCAAATGCAGATATCAGGTTAAGAGGCCTAGAGAGGGATGTACACAATGACGCTGACCTTGGCTTTAAGATCTAGAAAAATATATAGGTTTAAGGGGGGAGAGTGGGGGACAAAAAGGTAAGGAAACTTTACGTGAAAATTTTTGAACCCTTTCGCTGCCAAGCCCTCCGGAACACTTTGCACCTCTGCTGGCCACACCATTTTTGCAATTTTTCACATTGTTTTGATTTTCTACTGCTGCGTTGCTAGCGTTTGTAAAAGACCCCCCAAACCATATATTTTCTGAAACCGCAGGCCCGGTACAATAAAAAGATGGTGCTACTAAATTTGTAAGCCCTGCGATAATTGTGCAAATGTTTCTCAAATTCATATTAAAGCGATAAAAATACACAATTCAATAGATAAAGCAATAAAATCAGTATCAGTACACACACACACACAAAAACTTTTCCGCCTAAATCTAAAAGATAAAACTGTATGAAGTTAATAAATAACAAATAGTTTTAAATTGCGCCTTTTTGCGAAACGGTAACCAAAATGAAGGAACGCAAAACTGTAAATAAGCAACTTATGTTAAAAATTGTTTGTGAGCTGTGCTGGTGTTTGTGTTGTGATAAAATTATACAGGTGTACATTTAATTGCAACACAGCGTATCACAACAAACGGCAATGCGTCAAAATGCTTTGCCACGCGCTGCCACAGTTAAATGTTATTTTAAAAAGGAAAAAAAACAAGCACTGCGATATGTTCTAAAAACACAACGCAGTGCATGTGCATGGTGTACACCACAATATGGTGCACACTGTTGCACGTGTATGTTATCTGTGTGTGTGGGGGGAGGGTGGGGGTTGTGTTTTATTTTTTATAATGATTTTTTTTTTTTTACTGTTGGGAAGCTTCTAAATAGACCCCTGACATTTCCTTTTTTGAAATAGAAAAAGAAATTGAGGACACAGAGTCCTCAATCCCTTTTTCTGCAGCCTCTGTTCTAAATGAATGGAGAGCACTCAGTACAAAGGCTTCCCATTCATTCAGAAACTGCTGATAGTAAAATATTTACTATCATCCAGTTATGATTGGGTAGAAGCCTCTGTAGTGAGTGCTTCTCCCCATTGAGAAACTCATGAATGAACAGGAAGTGATGTAAAGCACTTCCTGTTCATTCATAACTGGGGACACACAGTACTATGTGTCCCCAGTTTTTTACAAACATTGGATCAGCTGATCACTCCAGTGTTTGTTCTGCACACAGAGGATCCTTCTCTTGGTCACGCACAGAGCCGCTGTCATCCTGAAACTTGTGTTCCGCCTTATGCCATACGTCGGTGGCAGTAAAAGGGTTTAAGCAGATGTAAAATCAATATCTATAAACAAAGTGCTGGTGAGATATATATTAGTGATATTTTGACCATTTACACTTTAAAAAATATCATGCAAAAACATGACTGCTTTCTCTTCATCTTCTTAAGTGAAGGCAAAAGCTGGAGGTGGAAAGGGGCAGCATTGCGACGATGAGGACCGATGAACTCCTGTGTGGAGTAAATGGGGGGAGTCGTACTGAACACAGTACTAACCTAATTTTCCACAAAATGTGCAAGTCAGTAACAGAACCAGTCAGATTTACATCTTATGTCTGTGGCGGGCAACCAAAGAAGTTAACACATTTGATAAACCACAGACCAGCTTGAAGCACCTTTGCTACAATGGCTCTCTTTAGTAAGATGACAATGCTTACTGGCCTGCTTGCAATTCAGCAATGGCATTATCATCCTCATGTCAGCGCTCCTGCATCAGAACTAGAGCCTTAGGTCATGACAGCTTTACCAATGTCCTGTAATCCTAACCAGCCAGGGCACATCTTCTGCCTGACAACGGCACTGTCAGGCAACAGTGCTGTGAGGCAATTAAGAGTGCATTATTACATCAGTGCTCGTTAAAATTTGCATACAATTCCCACAGGAAAATGCAGGCGCAAAGGTGTGAATCTAGCAGGAGCAGACATGACTCCTGAAGAGAGCAATGATTTAGCTTGCTACTCACTGGAAAATGTATTATTCCTCTTCTTCTATTATAGGGTGGGCTTAGTCTAATATAGGGGTTGGCAACCTTGGCACTCCAACAACAAGTCCAATGAGGTATTGTAAGACTGACAGTCACAGATATGGTTCATAAAACCAAGATGGGACTTGTGGTTTCACCACAGATGGACTACCAAGGTTGCATACCCTTGGTCTAACATAGGAGTAAGCAACCTTGGCACTCCAGCTGTAGCAATACAACAAGTCCCACGAGGTACTGCAAGACTGACAGTCACAGACAACTCATAAAACAATGACTGGACTTGTGGTTTCACCACAGTTGGAGTACCAAGGTTGCGAACCTTCGTCTAGCATAGGAGTAAGTAACCTTGACACTTCAGCTGTAACGTAACAAGTCCCATAAGGTATTGCAAGACAGTCCCAGACATGGCTCATAAAACCCATGACGGGACTTGTGGTTTCACCACATTTGGAGTACCAAGGTTGCATACCCTTGGTTTAACATAGGAGTAAGCAACCTTAGCACTCCAGCTGTAGCGGAACAACAAGTCCCATGAGATATTGCAAGACTGACAGTCCCAGACATGACTCATAAAACCATGACAGGACTTGTGGCTTCACCATAGTTGGAGTACCAAGGTTGCTAACCAACAGTGTTGCTTTAGGTTTTTGCAAAATGTGATTGTTGGCTCCCCTCGGGAAGAGGGGGTGGCAGTCACGGTTTTGAGCGGGCAAACTGGGCTGTGCCCAAGCGCCAGGCTTATCACTAGTAATGATTCCTGAAAATGAATGGCTTTAAAATGACACTTCTCCAATGCAAAGTTGTTGCTAATCTGCCTAGAGCTATTGTTGGGGAAAAAAAAAACCACTGACAGGGTTATTCACAAAAGTTTGAAGAGCTTGGAGAAGGCAGAAGAAGTGAACAATCTAGGACAACATAGCTAACTGGAAAGTGAGCTGAATTGGGGAATGTTTCCAGTTCAGCTATGTTGTCTTAGATTGTTCACTTCTACTGTCTTCTCCAAACTCTTCATCCTTTTGTGAATAGCCCTGTAAATCTGGCAAAGTGCATCAACATGCATTAGGACCCATTCACACCTGAGTGTAGTGGAAATGCGCGTTCCTTTCAATGGGTCCCTGCACACGTGGCAACTGTGGAAAAATAGTGCATGTAGCAAAATCTGCAACACGGGTTCCACGTGAAAACACGCACAAACACGGGACAAATTAGTGGTTCTAGCTGTGTTTGGGGTGGTATTAACTGGTAATGGCACAGCAAGCGTGTTTAACGTTTTTGATGTGTTTCACAAACGCACATTAAAGTGTGCAATTTTGTGGGCCTTCACGAGACGCTTAGGTGAGAAAAGGGACTTAGGATGCACATAAAGGACGCACGGAAAAATGCAGACGCAAAAGGTGTCAACCTAGACTGAGGTTTGGTTGCCGCAAGCGATTCAATATTACACTCCCCACTTTTTTACACAGCAGTCTATTCTTAAATATGGACCTATAAAGCAGATTACAGGCGGACATCCCTCTATCCAAGATACCCAGAGATTTGACATCTAGAAACACAGCTCTGATTTGTGTAGCATGAGGTATCATTGTACACAAAGAACAGCGCACGTTAACCAACCAATGTTCCCTCACATATATCTCCATGGTTACGGTGCTGACACCGCTATGTGGACCCTGGACCTTCACACAACGTCCTAAGTTACTTGTGACGATATTTAAATTTTCTTTTTCATAAAGTGTGCAATATATCCCTACCTTTATTCCGAGATTGTGTCACAACGGCAATTTATCGTTCGCTCTCTTTTAATATCCCCACTGTACCCAAAACTGAAGGACCCCTCTGCAGGGTCAGGGTGTACCAAAATGGCGTCCGAGCCCGATTAGAACTGTGCGAATGAAAGGGCAACAACCTCCTCACCACATCGCACAGCACTACAGCCAATCAGCTGTTTGGAAACCTCTGACTTCCTCCAAGCGAACTTTTTTTTCCCTTTCACTCAACTTTATTTGTGTAATTACAGAGAAGCAAAGTCAGTGTTTTTTTTTCTGGATGACATCATTGTGTCTGAGGTGAAAGCGAGGCTGCAATGAACGGTGAGCAGAGGTAAGTTTATTACCTGGGATGTGTGTGATATGGGGGAGGAGAAGCCGTGCAGGTGTACATTACAAATATGCATTTAAAGTGGATATAAACCCAAACTTGATGACGTTTAGTTTGCTGAAGCTCTGTGTGTCAGAAGTGCCATTTTTCTTTTAAACATCGGTTTTCATCCGAGTGCTGCTGATCTCCTCCAGTCCCCGAACCACTTTATTTCTACATGCAACCCACCCAGCAATGGCCGCACATAATTGCTCTGGATGGGTTTTTTTTTTTTTCAGTGGTGGACCATGCCTGTGCAATGTGAGTTAGCACAGCTGCCTGTAATGGGTGACAAAGCAGGAACATGATTGGGCAATAGTTGTAACAGGAAGTGCCTGCACGCAGACCCACATTGCAACAGGAAGTGCCTGCACGCAGACCCACATGACAGGATCACCGGGTATTCCTCTAAAACCCTTCAAACTTTTTAAAGGGTAAATCCACTTAACCACAAAATGTGAGAAAATAAACGTACCCAGACCATTCCACCACCTCTGCTTGCCCCCGCAAATCATACATTTTAGCGGCATGTGCACCTGCCCAACCCTTGTTTCCCCCGGTCCTTACACCGCACTAAGGATTCAGCATGGCACTCGCAAATGGCGAGCGCTCATTGGTCAGCATGGTTACATGACCACACTTACCATTAAGAAGCACTTATGAGTCCTAGAAGTAAGACGTGCATTTCATTGGTCAGTATGGTCATATGACCAATGAATGTTCACCGTTTGCGCCTGTTATGCTGGATCCTCAGTGCAGGACTGCAGTGTGGTGTACGGTCTGCTCAGGGGGTGCTGCATGCAGCTAAAATGTATGATAGCAGGGGCAGGCAGAGGAGGCAGAATGATCTGGGCAAGTAAATTTTGTAGGAAAGTGGAATCATTCTTTAAAATCATTAAATACATTCCAGCTGCATCAAAACAAAAGGTGTGCAGAGTCTTGGGGCTTGTTAACAACATGTCTGTTAAGTTGTTTTTCTTCACATACCATAAATGTATGGTGTGCACAGAATACAGTAGTTTTCTATGTGCCCTGTTCACACTGTACATGTGTGGTGATGTTCAGAAAAACGCAGCTTAGCAGACATGGTGTGAACAAGCCCTTACTGTTTGATTTCTTTAGATCGAAAAGCCTGTCCCCTGCCAGAATGCTTCAGAGAAGGACCCTTGCTCTCTCTGTGGAAACAGTGGTCTCTCTGCAGAGGTGTGGCACCCCCCCATTACTACATCCAATCTGAATGGATAGCTCTATTTCTATTTCAGTAGGGGGAGTTGGACCTCTGAAGAGATACTGTTGCTTTCACACAAAGAGCAAGGGTCCTTCTCTGTGGCATTCTGGCCTCACACTGGCATTTCTACTTGTGCTGTGACTGCTTTCTAAAAAAAATAATAATATGTAATACGACTTTGCACTTTTGTTTTGATGCACTTTTGTTTTTATTTGGCTTACTCAAAGCTTAGTTGAGCTTTAATGAAAGCTGCAGATTTAAAAGATTAACAACAACTTCTCCTCAAGTACTCGCCGATACCTGTTTTTTTTTTTGCAACAATACAGACTAATGATTTTAGGACAGAGGCCAGGGCCCGGTCCCAGCTGCAAACTCTGCGCCCCTGGTAGTTCTGCCACTGACTCCAAGCTGTAGAGGGACTGCAAATTCCAGCAATACATTATACAGCAATGCAGAATACCATCAGCTATAGAAGACTACAAATCCCAGCAACACATTATAGAGCAATGCAGAATACCATCACCTAGAGAAGAATACAAATTCCAGCAATACATTATACAGCTCTGCAGAATGCCATCAGCTATAGAAGACTACAAATCCTAGCAATAAATTATACAGCAATGCAGAATACCACCAGCTATAGAAGATTACAAATCCCAGCAATACATTATACAGCGCAATGCAGAATACCACCAGCTATACAAGATTACAAATTTCCAGCAATACATTATACAGCTATGCAGAATACCACCAGCTATAGAGGACTACAAATCTCGGCAATACATTATACAGCAATGCAGAATACCATCAGCTATAGAAGACTACAAATCCCAGCAATACATTATACAGCTATGAAGAATACCACCAGCTAGAGAAGAATACAAATCCCAGCAATACATTATACAGCAATGGATAAAAAAAAATGAAGCTACATAGTTTGTGTTGCTCACCAGGGCTGTGCTATGTCTCAGGAGGCTGTGTGGCGTCTGACCAGGGCTGTGTGCCTTCTAAACCTGGCCAGGGCTTACTAGCAGTAGATATATGCAAAACAAATTGAGACTTTAATTCTACTTTAGTATGGGGGCATTTTCACAAGTACTCATGAAAATGCCCAGTATCGGCACTGATACCAAAACTGGTATCGGTACATCCCTAATAATATACATTGAGGGGAATTTATAAAAACTGGAGCAGTTGCCAAGGGCAACCAATCAGCTTCTCTCTTCAGTTTGTTCAATTAAGATTTAAAAATGAAACAGAGAAGCTGATTGGTTGCTGTGCACAGGCCCTCCAGATTCGGTCTGCTCCAGTTTTTAACAGATAGAGCTTTCATTTGGTAGCAAATTTTGCTACATATATTTTCTCTTTGAGTAAAAAAAATGAATACAATATTTTCACATCATTTGCACATCTCTATATGAAAAATAGAAATCAGCAAAGTCTGCTGATTGTTCTAGAAGAAAGCAGAATGGTAAAGCTCAAAGTGAACGTATGCATTGTATTTTAGGAGAGCATTATTCCTCTATCAGCACTACATTGTGATGCACGCTAGGGGGGGAAATATGGCTTGTATAAATTGTTAGTAAATTGCTAGTGTAGTGTAACATTCTGATAACATTCAGGATAACAAAGGCAAAAATGAGCACGGTAGTGACTTTTTCAGAGCTTTGTGTTTGCTAAAAATTTCATGCATTTGATACTTGCACAAATGTCATATCATTTTAAGACTATTTTTTAGGATATAATATATATATACAGCACTGTGCAAAAGTGTTAGGCGGGGTGAAAAAATGCTGTAAAGTAAGAATGCTTTCAGAAATAAGTGTTAAACCAAATCTCCAACTCCATTGGCACAAATGCAGCCCCAGACTTGCATGGAACCTCCATCGAGCTTCACTGTTACCTGCAGCTACTCATTATTGTATCACTCTCCAGCCCTTCAGCAAACAAACTACCTCCTGCTACAGCCGAATATTTCACATTCTAACTCATCAGTCCAGAGCACCTGCTGCCATTTTTCTGCACCCCGTGCATGGTTGAGTCGCTTAGCCTTGTTTGCAGGTCAGAGATACTGCTTTTTGGCTGTAAGGCCACAGAAAAATGTCAGCAGGTACTCTGCACTGATGAGTCAACATTTTAAATATTTGGCTGTAGCAGGAGGCAGTTTGTTCACCGAAGGGCTGGAGAGCGGTACAATAAAAAGTGTCTACAGGCAACAGTGAAGCATGGTGGAGGTTCCTTGCAAGTCTTCAGATCTTCAGACGGGAGTAAGCGGCAGAAACACTGGTAAGTAATTACCAGTTTGGTAACTTTTTAATTTTTTTAAATGTTTTTGCATATATCTACTGCTGGGTAGCAGTAGATATATGCGAAAAGAATGAGCTTTTAATTCTACTTTAAAGTAGTTGAATGCATTTTTAAGATTTAACTCCTGAGTTTAGTGTCACTTTAAGGCCACTAGATGGAGCCGATGAGCATCTAGTAGCCCCAGCACAGCTCCATCTAGTGGCCATAATAAGGTATTACATTAAACTAAAACATTTTCAGGGTTATTCACAAAGGGTGAAGAGTTTGGAGAAGGCAGGAGAAGTGAACAATCTAGGACAACATGGCTGAACTGGAAAGTGAGCTGAATTGGAGAATTCTTCCAAATCAACTATGTTGTCCTAGATTGTTCACTTCTCCTGCCTTTTCCAGACTCTTCACCCTTTAGTGAATAACCCTGTCAGTGTTTTTTTACCTCTATTCACACAGAACGAACGTTCAGAGTGACTATGCAAGTTGTTTAAAAATAGACCACTAACAGTTGAGATTTTACTCAAATTGACTTTAAATGGCGTTGGCTGCAGAATCGTGGTCTTTATTACTTGTAATATTCTCTTCTTTCCTAGGACTGTTATTTTATGTGACATTAACGTCTCAGCAAGCTATTTGCATTGCTGCTAAACAGAAATCAAGATGGATCCAATGTCTCCGGAAGCTCATGGTTGGTCTATCCTCCAGAAACTGAATGAGCAGAAGTCGATGGGTCTTTTCTGTGATGTCTCCTTAATGGTGGAGGGTAAAATTTTCTTAGCTCACAAAAATGTCCTCTCTGCTTGCAGTGAATACTTCTATGCAGCTCTGAAAAGAAATGAGCAGCAACAGTTCTTGGTTCTCGACAATGTTAGCTTGGAGGGCTTTAGTCATCTTCTTGATTTTATATATACCTACAAGATTCCAACTTGTCATGTACAGGACTTTATGCAGGCTGGCCATCAGCTACAAGTTAGTCTTCCTCTCACTAGTCAGGTGGTCTCTGTTTCCAGCAGCCCACCAAATAATAATACTAAGGAGGAAATCTGTATTCCCGATGATGATTACGAGGTACCTGACCAGGAGTCAGAGTTGACAGAGGTTAACAGCTCGTCTTTAAGAAGCCACCACAGTGATAACCCTCCAAACATCAACAACAGATTCTTTAGTGAGGACAGAAGAAGGTTTGAGGGAGTGGGCCAGCTAAAAGACAAAGCCAGGATTCACAAACGACCTTCC